GTCTCTACTTATCAGAGAAATGACTAAATGGGCTGGAGACCCAGGTTTCATGCCTGCCATGACATGGTCCTCAAGCACCACTAGGAGAGCATAGAACCACAGTTATCCTTTGAACACTGTTGTGTATGAAACAAAATCAAACATGACAACAAAAAGAACAAAACCATGAACCTCTAGGTTAGAAAATCAGGTTAAAATGTCTTACTTTGATAGGAAATAATAACTAACATTGTATTGATGAATTTGCCTATTCTCGAAATTCCAAGTAAATAGAATGATATCTCTCTTTTTTTGGTTCCTTTATGCCTGATTTATTTTTCTTAGAATATTTTTGATGTTTATCCATGTATTATGAGTCATAAGTTCACTCATTTTGTGTGTGTGTGTACTTGAAATAAACACTGTCCTCCCGTTGTTCATCGATTTGCTCGAGCGGGCCCAGTAATGGCTCCATTCTGAGACTTGTTGTTACTGTGTTTGGCATATTGAATACGTCACAGATAGCTTGCCAGGCTTTGCTGTGCGGGCGAGATACTCTCGGTAGCTTGCCGGGCTCTCCAAGAGGGGCAAGGAATTGAACCCGGCTCAGCCAGGCTGGCTGCACACAAGGCAAATGCCCTACAGCTGTGCTATTTCTCCAGCAATAAATGAAATCAGCAATAAATAAAAAGAGTAAAAATATTTTTATAGCATAACTTTGACTCATTATGTAAATATTTTGGATTTTCCTAGGTGAACTTTAACAATATTATCAAAAGCTTGCAATAAACACTTTTGGGGGGGGGGGGGGTGGAGGTACTCATTCCACTAAGATTTACTCAATTTCTAACTAAGCACTGAGAAATAAGGAATGAGGAGAGACTTACAGGTGGGTTGTAATGGGATTCAGGAATGCAATGGATATTGAGTTATGAATGGAATTGATAGAATGGGATTGACTGCAGAGTGATGTGTCACTGAAGAGGTGGTGCAGTTTAATGGTGTCAATGGAAAACTATGTAACAGAAACATTTTTTTACCTTGTATTTGCGCAACATTTATGAGCACATACACTTCCTGAAGTTGAAATTGCTTAATTGACAGCAAATGCAATTTCTTCAGTCTAAAGAAGGCTACTATTGTATTTCAGTTAGAAGATTTTTCAAAATAGGTCCTCAAGGATATGTGGTCCACCAGAAGCAACATTTGGGATAGAAATAGTGCAGTATTGGGACTTCTTTGGGCCATTGTGTCCTCTACTCTTATTTTAAAAATTATTTTAAAAATGTGATTGTTCTATGACAGAACATAGAAACCCAAGGGGGGACTGAAAAAATATGAACTCTAATAGACTGGGTCAAGTGCCAGAAAAAAATAACAGTGGAAATGACTAAATAACTCTTTGTCTTTCAGTAGCTTTATCTTAGCATCTGGTTCTGTATGGCATCTGCCGCTTGGAGAAGTGGAGAAAGGGCAAGAAGAAAAGAGAAAACCTAACAAACAGAAAGGATACTCAGTAGTCATTTACGAAGGCAGAGATTCAAAGAGATGTTCTAGGAGCAAATAAACAACTCTGTGGACTAACTGAATCCTTCATTTATTTTGGATAAATTTAATCTCAAGAAAAATTTGTTTGGACTGAGAGCATGCTTTGCATGCAGGAGACCTAGATTCAGTTCCTGGTACCACATGGATCCCATTCATACTGGGGTGACCCCCGAAACATCAAGTTGGGAACAGACCCTAAACACTGCTTTGTGTAGCAAAAAGCAATGAAACAAACAAAAAAGGAATGATTATTTTTTTAAACAATAAATCCATGTTCTGAATAATTATAGTATTTAATATTCTTATTCTGTGGGGCATATTATTTGTATAAAATATATACAACAAGGGGCATACACTTTGTATATCTACCCCAAGAGGTTGAGGTGTGTGCTTTGATCATAGTAGCCACAGGTTTAATTTCTAGCATCATATTGGTCCTGGGAGAGCACCCCTGGGAGACACTCCAAGCACCAAGATTGCAGCAGCCTCTCAATACCTCTAGATGTGGCCCCCAAACCAAAATAATAATAACTGATGTTATACATTTCTAAATTGTTTTGTCTTGAGAAATGTAACTCTATACTTCCTGAATAAAATGCATTGGACAATAAATAAAAGCAGAGTGGCTGGTGATGACCTTTATTAAAGATATATGAGAGGAATTTGGCACAGTTTTTAGATCTTCTCTACATGGCAAAAACTAGTGATTTAATTAGCCAATTTGATCAATTTTGTCATTTGATTTATGGAATAGGTAAGCAAGAATTTAAAAATTCTGTCATTTTAGAGCCTGGAAGATAGCTCAAAGGCTGGTGGATATGCCTTCACTCAGAGCCCCCGAGTGAAATCTCTGGAGCTCTACGATCCATAGAACACCACTGGGGTGGTACTTGTGGCTACCAGAGTTGCTGGTTCCGAGTAGCACTGCACTTTTAGACCCATGCAGCTATCTTCAGGACTTCTGATCCAGGCTACGGATTACAGTGAGTGACCTCCCAACATCAGAGTACTATTAGGGGGCTCTCCCGAATCTATCCCCTCTAACTCTATTCTTACTTTTCATATTCTTTCTGTCGTCTTTTTTCAAAGAATGTTTTCTTTGCATTTTTTTATCTTTTATAGATGTGAGTTGAAACCAATGAAATAACCCCGATCTTCATTCAATCGGCTATTCAGAGATTACCTGTAATGCATTATTATTTGGTACGGTTATACGATATTGTGGAAATAAATAAATCTTCTCATATGGTTCAATTATTTAAAATTTGAATAAAAAGATAACTAAGATCAGGAATTTTAAATTTATTTTTAAAATTTGGGCATGTTTAGGAAACCATGGTGATGCTCAGGATTTAATCCTGGCTCTACTCTCAAGAATTTTTCCTTGTGGTGGTCGGGGGACCATATGGTAGCCAGGATTGAACCCAGGTCAGTCACATGCAACGCAAGTGCTCTATCCATAAAGGTAGGAACAGTTAAACTATCTCTTTAGCTCATATAAATCAGGATTTTGTAAGGAAAATGAAATTTAATGTTATGAAAATCACAGTTTATGATAAAAATAATTCACTTCACAGATTATTTTTCAATATAACTATAATTGTTAATTAGAGAATCAGGGGCTGGAGCAGTAGCACAGTGGGTAAAGAATTTGCCTTGCATGCAGCTGACCCAGGTTCGATTCCCAGCATCCCATATGGTCCCCCGAGCACTGCCAGGAGCAATTCCTGAGTACATGAGCCAGAAATAACCCCTGTGCATCCACGTGTGACCCAAAAAGAAAAAAAAAGAGAATCAAAGAGTCTCTGAATAATAACTGTACAGCTAACAAATAAAGTCAAAACGCATGTACCATCAATCAGAACTAGTTAGCACTAATGAATGGTTATCATTCATTTCAACAGAAGTCACATTTCCCAAATGTATTTTGATCTAGGTATTGGATGTAATGCTTAAATGTATCATAAAACTATATTCCTAAAAAGAAGAGAATCTGCAATTCAGCATTCTTTATTAAAGAGAGGAATCAAAGCATTATGTACATCACTAAAGTTCTTCAAATGGTTCTATACTCACCTAATGAGATAAACTTAGTTTCCTGCTCTAACCGCTGAAATTTCTGAAACTATTTTCAGTTTTACTCTTAAGTTCATGATTATTAATGTGCATATTTATTTTAATAGTTTCAATATCAGTTTTTATATTTTTGCACCATTTTATAAAAATAATTCAATGTTAACTTTTTTAACTCCAAAAATTATCAAAGAATATTCAGCCATTAGCTTAAGAATTAGAGGAGATACACAATAGATATCTTTAATTATGTATCAGAATTGTGTGCTTTGGTTAATCTAAAAATATTTTATGACAGGATTTTGTTTGATCTAAAAGCTGCAATCCCTCAAAACTGATGCAACTTTCAGTCTCCTGTGTAAATATGCTTTTACACATAAGTTATGACACCCCAGGCTGTAGGTTTCCTGCCTGGGTTCTGCCCTTTGTGCTTATGTTATCACATATTATACAAAGTCATTTTGTGACTAATTTTCAGAGCACTGAGTCACACTGTGGCAGTTGCTTATCTTTACTTTTTTTTCCCTCTCCATAACACTGCTCTTGGTTCTTATTTTTTGATAATTTATTTATTCAAATGAGCTTTTTCCATAATTCAATAGGTGTTGGCTTTTTTTGTTTTTTTACTTTTTTTGTCCTATTCCAGTTCTGTAATTGTATACATCTATATTATATGTTTTCTTTTATTACCAGGAGCAAAGCTTGAAATTGCTTATAATCAAGAAGAGCATGAGAGCACATCATTTAAGTTGGTAATCTTTTGCTTTAGTTTATATAGTTTTGTACATAATGAATTAATCCTATATTCTTATTAACATATTAGCTAGAGTATAACCTCTAGTCTTAGAAAACTTTTAAAATATTTCCTTAGATGAGTTAATTCTGTCATAAAATATTTAATTTAAACTCTAAGAATTCTCAAGTCATTGAAACTATTTTCAATACTTTATTTTAAATGTCACAATTAATGACAAATAAAGGAGTTGCTTGACTTATGAGTCATTTTCTTTGTTGTTTTTCTTCATAGGTTGCTAAAAAATGTTTTAAGGTGAACCAAGTCAGAAAATTTCCATCAAATAAAGTTGCTGTAATTGCATCCAAAAAATTATTTAGATGACTCTGTTTTACCAGTTTATTACCCAAATGGGAATGATTTTAAAAATATAGATATATATATATATATATTCAACAAATATTTCCTGAAGAAGTAAATACAGTCCTGAGAACTTATTTTGGTATGGCAATAGGAGTATACTTACAGAGAAGGTTGATTTTTGTTTTGGGGTCACAAACAATAGTCTTCCCTATCGTCCTTTCCTTGTTACCCTGCTTTTATCCCCCAAGAAAAAGATCCAATTCTTATTTCTCATAAGTTAAAAAGTATATTGCCAAGTACTCACGAGCAAAATCTCTGAAGAAAGTTCTTGGAAAGATTTTTCTCAAAGCGGAGTTGAGGTTATTTTGTTTTCCTTTCCAGGCATTGAAGTGAGGATTTATCCTTTCTGCTGCTTCTTTTAAACTGATCAAGAACCAGGGGGCGTGGAGAAGAGTGAAAGAAATGCAATCTGATTCTGCTCAGGAGGAAAGGGCTAAGAATTTGACGATTATTCAGCCCAAAGTCGCTCCTGTCTATTGGAGCAAAGAGACAGCCTCTGAGCTGGTTCCAGAGATCAGTGGCAGTTGGGAATAACCAGGCTTCCTGTTTAGGTCACTCTGCCCTCTATTTAGGCTAATTTCCCTAAACTTTTCAAAAGCCTTTTTTGTTGTGGAGGAAACAGACAAAAGAAACCACTTACAGGAGAACTTCAGACATAACTATTTTAAGTAAATATTTTAGTTTCCAGTATTCTTTTTGTATTTAGTTAAAAAGAATCCACCCATAGTTATATATATATACATATATATATATATGTTTTAAGATATATATATATTTGTGATTTCATTGTTAGTAAAATTAAAAGTAATCTTTTTTTAGTAATTTCATCCACATTGTGAGTTTACTAATTAAAAAATCTGAGGACTGGGTTTTTGAAGATTTCTCTGATAAGAGAGGGAATATCATGTATTTACTGCAGAATGTTAGATTATGAGTAACTATAGCTACTCACTAGCTTTGAAATTTTGGTTAATTATTTGATCTGTTAATTCTTTACTTTCTTCTAAAATGATGACAAAAATTCTTAGGGATTTTTGTAAGTACTAGAATAAATATATATGTATATATTTACATACAGCATACAAAGCACTCGAGACAATCCCCAATAGCAATTCTTTAATGAATGTTAGCTATCCTGTTTATTTACTCTGGTTTTATGTTATATTGTTATTATTACTTAAATGAAACATTTAAATGTATAATTTATAAAGGTATGAAGTCTTTGGATCAGAAAATCTTCACTTCCCCATTTTCTCCATCTCTCATTCTCTCATTCAACTTTTTGTTTTTTTCCTTTGATTTCTTTTTTTTCAATTTTTTTAAACTTTTTTTTTTTTTTTAATAACGTAGGAGTACTGCTATTCAGCTGGAGCGATAGCACAGCGTTAGGGCGTTTGCCTTGCACGCAGCCAACATGGCCGACCCAAGTTCGATTCCTCTGCCCCTCTTAGAGAGCCCAGCAAGCTACCGAGAGTATCTCGCCCACATGGCAGAGCCTGGCAAGCTCCCCGTGACATATTCGATATGCCAGACACAGTAACAACAAAGTCTCCAATGGAGACGTTACTGGGCCCGCTCGAGCAAATCGATGAACAACGGGAGGGCCTTTGCCTTTACCTTTACCTTTACTGCTATTCAGCTATTGATTGAAGCTGATTGAATTGGGCATGAACTACACATTACTTTTTTATTTTTTAATTGTATCACTGTGAGATAGAGTTACAAAGATTTCGTGTTTGAGATTCAGCCATACAATGATGGAACACCCATACCTCCACCAGTGTACATTTTCCACCACCCACATCCCAGTCCTTACCCTGCCTCTATGGCAGACAATTTCCCCAATACTCTCTTCTCTAATTTTGGGCATTATGTTTTGCTTAAAATTTCCTCCCACCATTCAACCTACCTGCCAGGGCAGCTGCTAGATAATTTATTTTCCATTGCTCATTTTGAATATCATGAGAGCCCGTACCACCATGATTATAAATGTAAATTTCTAGATTGCAAATTGTTGAGATCCAGAGACATCTCTGTATGGCACTAATCCATTTTGGGATTCAATTGGGAGTCTCTGGGCCAGGGCTGTTGGTGCGCTAAGATGGCGCCCGGAGGCAAATTGTGGATGTGACAGCTAGTCTTCTTTCTGGGTGGGCACAGATCCGGGGAGGGACAGCTCGGGTTCTCTGCCACCATGCGGTCTGGAGATTCACTCCTGAACCCGCATACCTGGGCCTTGCTTGTGGATGCTCTTGGTCACTGAGATTCCATCTGGAGTAGGTGGGGAGAGCATACCTGCTCCATATGGGATGCCCTGGTGAAATTGGCTCAGTATGGGACCCGTAGAGATCTCCGGCACTATGGTGTCTTCCAGGACTTGCTGCTGTGTCTCTGAGTCAGGGCTGTTGGTACGCTAAGATCCACATACAAAATTTTCAGCAGATTATATCTCAGTGAAGTTCATCCTGAGACAGTGGAGTCAGGCTGGGCATATGGAAGTGATTTTGGATTGTGGAAGCAAGTGACTGCTGAGGGTTCTACTTGGACGGCCACAGGCCAACCTGCCCCTTCCAATTTACCCTGGTCTATTCAGCCATGAATGGGTCCAAGCTTTTCTGCGGCTTTTGATCTCTTTCAAGATTTATTTAGTGGTCTCTGAAGCAAGGCCAGCAGTAGAGCTTAAAGAGTGGTACTGGAGTTGGTTGATGGAGGTGACTGTCAGTGCTTCCATGTCTGTTGGGAAGTAGGGGTAGGTAGCTCACCCCAACTCTGAGAAAGCTTGGAGATTTAGGTCACAAAACTCACATACCAGAATTTTCAGCAGATTATAACTTGGTGAGGTCTTGTCCTGAGGCAGTGGAGTTTGGCCAGGGATATTGAGGCAATTTTGGATTGTGGAAGCGAGCAGTTGCTGGGGGCTCTTGCTGGACCAACCGGCAGTCGAACAGGTCGAGAGGGAAGGTGAGGATCAAAGAAACTATATGCAAGTGATTAAGAGGCTGAGTTCTTGTGGAATAGCAGCATTGATCTTTATTTCAGCAGCCTCTTATACATCTCTATAAGGAACTTGCAAGGTAAAATCATCCACTGTAATTGCAAAAAAACATTCCCAAGATCATACATTCTTTGATCATAACAAATATAGGAAGCATAATATAATGAAAACAATGTTACTTAGATCAGCAATAGGAAATAAGAACACAGTAGAAATAATAGCAAAGTATACTGAAGAACATTCTGACCCTTCCTGTGTACTTTTCATGATTTACCAAGGTGTTATTTCCTGCATATGCCACAAAATCACAATGCATCCATTTCTTATTAACTTCTCTTGCAAACTGAGGATGATGAAGTATTAACTTCTCTGTAGACTTGAGTCAGCGACATAATGACTACTCCACATATTAGAGGTGGCAGGACAGAGAGCTATGCCAAGTACACTTAGCTCTTTAAATGAGGCAGCTCCCAGAGCTAGGTCCACTTAAAGACCCTGCATAAGCAGGCAGCTCCCCGAAGGCTCTGCTTGGGTGGGTCACCATGCCAACCCACCCCCCTCTGATTTACCCCAGTCTGTTCAGCCATTTGTGGGTCCAAGATTAACTGTGGCTTTTGATCTCTTTTGAGATTTATGTATGGATTTCTGAAATAAGGCCAGTAAATGAGCTTGTATAGCTGAGTCGGAGGTGGTTTGTGGGTGTGGCTCCCACATCCCCAACTTTGGTCAGTAAAATTCTTGGTAAACTTGGTCCCAAATTGTTGGTGTCTGGCCATAGGCACAGCATCAATTTGGGGGTATCAGGAAGCCTGAAGGCACCATCAGGCTGCTGATGCACTCTCCCGGCAGGCACAAGTTGATCTGCTGGTGGCACCATACTCCCATACAGCTGAACACACTGTATGTCCAATGATCAGGCCTTGCTATGATGCTACTCTGGCCCCGCGCCGTTGAGGCAACTATACCCAGTGATTCTTGGTGGGGGCATATAGTGCCCGGGAGCAAAGTCAGATATTTCATTCCATGACCTCTGAGCTATCTCCCTGTCCCTCTGCAAGAGATTCTTCCTGTGATTTTATTACCATTTTTCTATTCCATCAGTTATAACTCTTTTAATCTATATGTTCCAAGTACCTACCAAGATGTTCCCAGATATTCTAAGTACCTATCTATTGCTAATATCTCCTTATCACTACTCATCATACTCTGTTAATTTTCTTTTCAACTTCCAATTTGAATAATATTCCAGGCTTTTATCATGAGTTATTTTATTTCTGCCCACTATATTAAAATAACAGGTTCTTTTTTTTATTTATGCTTTATTTTCTAATTTTATTCACTGAAACATTTTCCAATGTTTAATTTTATAAATCTAATTTATTTGAACATATCAAATATTTCAAAAAAATCATGAAATTCTATGAGACTGACAAAAAATCTGGAAAAATACAAATACCTGAATTTTGCAGATAATTTTCCAGGTCTTTTAGTATTCTTTTTCATCCAATATAAGATGTCTTCTGAAAAGCTTCCTCATATTGAATCCTTCTGATCCTATAATTAAAGTAAGAATAATATAGCCACACATAAAAATAACAATGCAAAAAAATTCAGCAATAATTACTAATTTCTAATGCCTGTGCTTAATGTCAGATATTATTCTAAGTGTGTTATTTTTAAAAATAACAACACGAAATGGCCCATATTATTCCCAATTCATAAAGATTCAGTGATTTGTGCTAATTCAGACTACCAATAAGAATGGAATTTAAATCTAAAGAGCTTGGATTTTATAGCAGTACTCCTACATAAAAAATAAATAAATAAACAAAAGAGCTTGGATTTTGAGTCTTTACTAAGTACAATGTCTCTTTGTTTTTAGATGTTGGCATATTTATGATTTTATAGCTACAATCTATAAGTAAATACCTATCATCTTACTAAGTTGAATAGAAAAATGTTCCAAGACCACATAAAATAATGTTGAAATTGTGTAAAATCTATAATCAGAAATTCTATAATATTTAAAAATATATAAATTGTTTTTGTGCAGGGGTTGGAATGATAGTGCAGTGAGTAGGTTACTTGCCTTCCACACAAGTGGCCTGGGTTCAATCTCTAGCATCCCATATGGTACCTCAAACCACACCTGTTATAGTCCCTGCATTCAGATCTAGAAGTAAGTCTGACACCATTAGTTGCAATTCCAAAATGACACATACACACACACACACACACACACACACACACACACACACACACCAGAATTTGCATAGCAATCAATATTTACAAAGATACCAAAAGCAATCTTGTGAAAACATAAAGATGGAAATAATTTAAA